CACACACACACACACACACACACACACACACACACACACACACACACTTGCCTGCTGCATAGCTGTGTAATTGCCTCAGTGCTGTTACTGAGGCCCGGGTCGGGTCGGGTCTACCATCTGACATGATAGACCCGAGAGGAAAACAGACAAGGACAGTTTTATTATCATCATATTTCATGCCTTAAAAGCACAGCTGGATCCCACCCTACGTCATGTTCAGATTCGTGACAAACCCATTCACCTTGCAAGACCATATTTAATCAAGAGAGTAGCCGTGGCGGAGAGGCTGCTCCGGAGCGAGCAGGGAAGCTGCAGAGTGCTGACTGCAGCATGTTCTGAGGTGACGTCCGTAACATTTATTATGTTCACTGACAGAACTCGGAGGCTGCCGGCCAAAGGAGGACTAACCTCGAATACCCTTTTGTACCTTTTTGATTTCTACCAGTGTGTTATGGACTTCAGTTGGAGTATTTCTTTCTCCTTCTTCTTCTGTTATTTAAGTCTTTTGCATTGCAGACAGATGTGCAAAATGCACTCGCAAGCCTCCCATCCCCCTCTAGGAGAGATGATGTCACCAGCATAAGCTCATCTTCCCAGGTGGGAGCCAGTTACTCCTCTAAGCCAATCAGAGGCTTGTTTACACCTGAATCCCCTGGCAAGCACACACACACACACACACACACACACACACACACATGCTCAACTTAACAGTGTTAAGAGCCGCTGATCTCTTCTGCTCATAAAAAGGGTCAGATTATATTTTTTCCTTCACAACTCATCCTTTAGCGTAGGATGTGATACATCTGTGGAGGACAGAGGAAACCGTGAACGTCAATGAACGGAGGTTGTGCGGCTGCAGCGGTGGAGGGGCGAGGGGGGAGGGGGGGCAAACAGAGTCCCTGCTCTCGCTGCTCCAAGGACATCTATTGATTTGACCTCTCTTGTGTCTCCTTTCAGTCCTCCTCTCTTTTATTTTCCACCGATAGCAGCTGCCTACGCCCACTTCCTTCCCTCCCTCATTGATGCTCCATCTGTAGACGACAATGCTATTGTTTCCCTCGTTCATACGTCTTATTCCCTCTCAGCAGACCGACAGAGGACGCGCTCTAATATTTCCTCCACGTCAGTCTCTGACAAAGGGGCGGGGCCTCACTGTGGTTTCACCGTCATCTCAGCAATGCCCTCAAGGCGCAAAACATGCGTGGCTTTGTCCAGGCATTTGCAGAACATTTTGATGCCGCTTCCCTTTTTGTCTCCTCGCATCCTTACTCCCGTGTGCACCTCTTCCTCTCCCCTGCTGTGGCCCAGACACAGAAACGCACGACGGCGTCGCCGCGTCTCGCCTAAAAAAAACACCGCTCTGCCACACACGTACACACTCTGTGTTTTTCCTCTTAATTAGCCCCCGGAGATTGATATTTACTGACATCAAAACATGAT